TCGTGAACTGCTTTGGCAGCTTGCTGCTCCTGTCGCAGAGCTTCTTCGTCCACCTTGGCTTCCTCCTGCAAGCGCGATGGCAAAGACAAGCATGAGAAAGCTGGAATCCGGTCGTCCTTGTTCTTGCGACGGGCTTCTTTCAGCAGGAGCCTGAACGACACGCGACATGTCACAGGAAGTGTTCTACGCAGCTTGCTGGAGTGTGTGTGTGTGTGTGTGTCTCACGGCCAACTCTGGTCTTCACCTGAGTTTGAGGGTTCTCAGAAAGATCAGGGTTGCTCGGACCATCGCTCGGACCCAGGGTTATCCGCCAAGTGTCACGGAACCTCCGAACCCGGAACGTCATGAAGGTGCACGGTCCCTTGCAGCTGCCATCTCCGATCTACCTGCCCCTGCAGACAAGTCGCTTGGTATGTTCCAGCTCCTTTTCAGCGAGCGACATTTCCTCAGGGTTGACTTGTCGAAGCAGACCCAGCTGACCTCGAAAGGCGTCTTGCAGCACATTGCAGCAACGCAAACATGTGGCTTGGCGGCTTGGGTCAGGCCAGGCCTTGTTTCGACTCCACGAGCCGCTCTTCCGCCAGATTCGCGACCTCCTGGTTTTCCCTCGTGCGTCGAGCTGAATCCCATCGTGCCTCCTGCACCTGCGCCGACTCACTCCTTAGCTTCAAAGTTTCTCGCAACCCTCTGCACACCTGCCACACCAGCCAAGCAAAGGGCACATCGCTGAGGTTCTGCTTTTGAGTCCTTAGGCTCACCAGTGTCGGAAAAACGCATGGGGGTGTTTTTGTCCGTTCACCGCACATTGTCTTTCCCTGTCACCGCGTCTTGTGGTGTTCACCGCGCAGTCTTTTCTCCGGTCAATACGGTTTACGGTGGCTGACGATTCAAAGTTTCGACTCTCCGTTCACGGTTCGGGGCTTCGGGCTTGGCAGAATTTTGGCTTGACCGCGTCTTGGGCTTTCGTCGCTCACTCTCGCACAAGGCAGGCAAGGCAGTTGGGGCAGTTAGGGGTTTAGTTGGGCTTGGGGTTGAAGGTGATTCACATTCTTTTTGGCCTCTTGCTAGGACAAGCCATGACAAGTCTGCGCAGCAAGGTACCAGATAACACGCAGTACATCCGAAGTTCAGGAGCAGACGTAACTTCACGGGTGTCTCCCTCGCAATTCGGACACTGCATGGGTTCAGGGTTTCTTGTTGCCTCCCACCTGGAGGGACGAGACGCGCATTGCAGAGTGGTCAACGACAGGGCTTGATGCAGACGGATTGGACTTTACGCTTGGGGCTTCGGCGCGCACACTTATCGGCGAGGAAGGTTGGCAACTGTTGACGGGCGAAAGGATAGAAGGCATCCAGCTGCACTGATTAGAAAATAGATTAAACAGATGCTACCTACATGCACGAATACCTGAGCAGCTCGATTCACAGATTGCCGTGCATCACCAACCGTTTGAGAAATCGCCAACACTCGGTCAGCAGGACGGATTGGGTAGCCCAGCGCAGGCTATCACTGAGAAGAGGGCCACGAAAGCCAGGGAAGGAAGCGTAGCAGGGAAAGGGTGGGGCGACTTGTCAAGCGAATCGATTGCAGCACAGACCTGCGAATCACTCGAGCGTGCCGGAGGTAAGGCATAATTATGTACAACTGAAAACTTTGTGGGTGTACTGGCATATTCCGGCCGGCACATGCCAACCAGATTCTTTATTGTCAGTGCTTCGAACCGTCTGAGGCAACCCACCGTCTTTGCTGAATGCGCTGAATACTGCTACTGGACAAGGGGCCTTGAGGTAGGAGGGGAGGCGGTCATTTGCTTGTTGCCTCGGGGGCCGCCCGCCCCCCTCTAGAATCTCTAGACAAATCCCGCAAGCTTCCTGTGTCATGGTCAAGCGATTTTCATCTTCGTCAAGCTGGCCAGAGCCACGAAACTACTACACAACCTAGAGACTACCCATTCCGTTTGTTTCGGGAGGTGGGTTTCCGATTCTAAGTTCTGACTGTTAAGATTTGACGTTTATATACTGCCTCGCCGGGACTGAAGGGTGCTAGAGCTGATAGAGCAACCAACAACAACCGAAAAAAAAGACACACGCTTCATGTCAAGCAAGAAGACCAGGTTATCGAGAAAGCACGAGTTCGACCAATGCTGCAAACGACAGGAAATAAAAGCATACATTAAAGAAAAGGCACAGTTAAATTACAATAAAGAAGCAATAGATGTAGACATGGTTGCTGTCAGGAGGATCCTGCAGCTGCGTCCTCAAACAGTAGTGCAGGAGAGGCACGCGAGCTCCTTGCCTGAGTTACGCACAGCTCATCTTTCAAGAATGCTCACACCGAGTCAAGTTCTGAACAAAGCGAAGGCTATTGTCGCCGAATTGCGCGCATCCTTCAAGTCTCGCTCGAGTTTGTTGCTCTTCATGACAGCAAGACGCGCGCCGTTGTTGTATTCTTCTTCCCGGTGCCGAACAGCGATCAGCTGATCCTCATCTCGAGCTGTCTTGGTCCGGGTGAGCCTTCACTTGCAGAGTCACCTCTTGCAGCATGTGTCCTCGGTGGTCTTGAGCAGCTGCTTCTGGGCCTTGATTTCCTGAGCAGTCCAGCTTGCTTCTTCGACCTCGATGCTAGCCGCTAGCATTCCTGGCCTGGTTCAGCTTCTTCACCTCCTCCTCTCCTTGGAGCATCTTGTTTTGGAACTCCTGAGTCCTGGCCTGGTCTTTAAGCACAGCCACGAGTCACGAGAAGCTCCGGGCTGGACATCGCAGGGCGCCTTGGCTCGGAAAGCCTTCTCCAGAACTCCTCCGTGGGCCTTTGCTAGTTCTTCCATCCTGCGGAGATAACAAAACACTGCACGCCCCGTCACCCCAAGAGCTTCAAAACCGCGTGCACCTGGACTCCCGTTTAGCCATCATCTCAGCGCGACGTGAGTATGATTCTTCCTGCTGCAACAGCTTGTGAAGGCTGCAGGAAACTCCAGAACTGAAATTCGGCCTGTCGCGCGAGCTGTTCCATTTTCAGCTTTGCCGCTTCATACTGCTGCTGCTTAAGAAGCAGCTGGCCAGTCATCTGGGCCTGAAGATCGCTCATAGCACAGGTGCGAAATCCCCGTGAAGGCCCCCAAATGAAATCTCCTCTCTGGTCCTAGCTCTACCTCGCTGCCAAGAGTCGACGGCTGCCTGGGCCTGCACATGGGACTCCGCTCCAGCCTGCGGCGGCTCAGCGTCAGACAGCGCTCTCCGCCCTCGTGACTCGCGGTCCAAACCTTCGCCAGGCTCAGGCCCACCTTGGCGAAGGCTTCAGTTCGTCTGCGACCGATTTCGTGAGAACCCTGTCAATCAGTCCATTCCACAAGAGCGAGGTCCGCAAAACATCGCTCGGTTACCACAACTCAGACCAGTCAGAAAATCCAAAAAGGCCCATTCATCGAAGGAAGCGCATCGTTGAGCCGAGTTGAGTGGTGGTTCGGCAGTTATTTCTTGGCTGCCGGCTTGCTCGTGATTGACGGCTGGACATATGGCTGAGTTGGTTCCTATATAGGCTGGCAAATGACAAAGTTGCAGCCGGAACAATGCTCGAACTTGATGTCCGCGCATGGACCCACACTGGATGCTGCTACGTCCTATTTATTTGTGGCGATTGTGATGTCGGCGGGATGTTGCATGTGGCAATTTTCTAGCCGATGCCACATTGCTGAGCTGAGCATCCCACTTCATTGATTGGCTGCGCAGATCCGCATGCCAAGCCAAGCAGCAGAAGGTGCCACATCGGCTACAGGCAGACAGAGCAGACACCAGTTGCCTATTGCAACTAGCTGCGGGTTTGAGCCACCCAGGCTTAGGATCATTCATTGGCTGTGAGTCATGTGGGCATGTATATCGTACATCCAAAGTGGGGGAAAACAATACTTCAGACTGCCTGCACCTCCCTGTCGCTTTTGATTCTCTTCGAGCTTGGCTCAGCCAAAGCAATCTGCGGCACTGGCTGTGCAACGACCTGCAACTGCAACAGATCAGCTTGCACTGATGCCCATAGCACCCCCACCTTGTCCCGTACGGGCGCAGGTGCAGGTGCAACAGCTCGGCGATTTTCCCGGACTTTCCCAGCCTTGGCCACAGAAGAAAAAACTCTTCGAGCAGCACGTGCACAATGTGCCGGGTTTTTCCATCAATAGCCGGGGCTTTCACCTTTCCGCGGCTTTCCCGCGGGTCGGGCTGCTTGAACTTGAGCCGCCATCGCAACTTAGCACGCCGCACCACCTCAAGCTGCAACTGGATAGTAAAACAATCGACCCCTGCAAAATTGACACCCTGCTTGCAGCGACGCTGGGAACTCGGCCCTGGCCGTTTTGTATTTGGCCTGTCTTTGGCACTGCCAAGGCCGCACTCTTTGCGCGCAACCTTCCAAGAACTGCCGAGAGCCTTCGACGTCGACTTTGGGGCCATGCAGTGCTCCAAAGACTACCGCGGACCAACTTCAGGCTTGAGCCAAATGCTGTGATGACCCGATTTGCTGCTCGCCAATATGTGGACCTTGACTGGGGAGTCAGGTTAGAGCCTGAAGCCTCCACGATGCCGCGAAAAGCCGGGAAGCGAGTTCCCATATCCTGACGCAAGACATGTCATCACTTCCGCTTCGGAGTTCATCTCGTGTCTGACATGAATAGATCCCCCGCATCCGTGCAAGTTTAACTTGAACACCACGACATCGGAATCACCGATGACGAAAGCCTTGCAGCCAGCTTCTATGCACTGGCAAGCATGGCCAAGCTGTAGGAAGAGCAATGCTGCATTCTCATCTACTACAGCTGCAGCCAGATGCCGTTGGCGCAAGTTCTTGGCGCAAGTTCCAAATGAGGAAAGAGCCTGAAATCCTGGACACGAACTCAGGCCCACGCCCTTGATCCTTGCTGGCTACAAGACTCAACTAATTGCGTGCAGCAGACAGCCTGTACATGCTTGCTGCAGGGGTCAAAACCCATCGCGCTGGTTGGCTCGTGGTGCCCTCAGCGCTTTCTCCAGCGCTGCCGGCGGCGCATGCAACCAAAGCTCCTTGAGAATGCACTTTGAAATGCAAAAGGCTGGTAGATGCTGCTACCGGCTAGCTGTTGACTTCTGGCGGGCGCCCGGCACATACCACCCCCACCAAGCATTGGTGTGTCTGGCGCAGCCTTCGAGCATCATGAGACGTCTTGGGGCGCCACGACGGGAGACAAAGCACGGGAAAACAGACGAAGAGCGTGTCCTATTACGTAAGCTGCATCTGGTGAGGCCCTCCCCTTTTGCTCAACTTTCGACGACACCGAAACCTTTGTCCCCAGGCAGACACGACAGGAAACGGTAAACAGTTGACGCTGCAGTTGACGCGGCGGCCTTCGGGCTGCGGTAAGGCATCCAGCTCCTCCGCGTCTTGCAAGCAGACTGGAATCCGGAGCACCAACGTCAAATTGAGCAAAGTGACCATGACGGGAGTGAGCTTTAGGGCCTTTAGGGTCACGAGCCGTCTCCTACGCAGTCGTGTTGTGGACTGGACCCGCCTTCAGAACAAAGTCCAATGCAGCATGGGGACAGCGACCGACCGATGGCAAGAGGCCCTGCAGCAGTGCAGGGATGCTCAGCTTAACAGTTGACAAAGTCACACCTCTTCCTGCCTAATCATGCTGTGTTTGTGAAAAGCTCTTCGAAACGTGTTCTTCAAGAGATGCTCTGAGTGCAGTGCCTTGGCCAGCGCCTGTCGCGCAGCCGGAGGCAGTGCCGGAAACACGCCAGACCACTCGTGGAAAAGATACCTTGAAGGCTGAAGCTTGAAACAAAAGAGGCGCCTAGAGCAGAGGTCCCAGCTGAGGTGCGGGCTCGATCTGCTCTCCTCGTTGCATCAGCTTGTCAATCACGTGCTCGCATTGAGCAAACCTGTCGGACGGGTGACATCTACGCAACAGAAGGGGGCCACTGTGCGCGGCACGTGAGGCCCTCGTGGACCAGCAGCTCCTTGCGAGAGCAACTGCCTCGACCAGCCCAATATTAAAAACCTCCCGCGTCCTTAAAGACTGCATCAATCACCTCAGCTGGTAATTCGGGGTCCATGCTGTACACCTGTTCAGCCAGGTGGGTTGGAAGCTAGATGTCATGCTGCACTGCCCGTGCCTCTTCGAACATGGCCGTTACCATCGCGTCGAAGATCTCGGGCCTCTTGCCACAAGTTGGGATGATCGCCGAGATTGTCGTGAAGTTGGATTCGGTACTGTCCTGGCTCGTATATATCGGCAGACCAAGTAGAGGAAGTCGCGACTTCCTGAGCGAGGCCGCGTGGGGCTCCACAGGCCTGGAAACTGCCACGACAAACCTTTCGCCATGAGACCCCAGAAGAACCCAGTGTGAGGGGTCGCTCGTATGCTCCCATGAGCACCTTGTGCCTCAGGTGCCGAGGCTTCAGGGAGAGGTGAGCCTTGTGCCACTAAGTCCGATGCGAATCCCAGCAGCCTCAGGTCATCTTCCACCCCAGTGGCTTACTAGTACTTACTAGTTGCTCTATGGCTACTCGTAGCATGCACGCCATTGCGACAAGCAGCATGGCCGCATTCTCCTTGGCGAGCCGTGGCCAAGCCTGAAGCAGAGGCTGCGCTGCATGCCTCGTGCTGCGTTCGGTTACGCACTTTGCGTTGACTCCATGCCTCCCGCCGGTCAATGACCTTTTGGACCACTCGCCAAACCTGTCACAGAAATCTGGCAATGACCTGACGGGGACCTGTGGTCCCGGCATGTTCCGGTGGTTCGCTCCAGGTGGGTCCGGTCCGGGCCAATCAAAGGACAGTGGACCTGTTCCACTCGTGCACACCGGCAGTTCCACACCTTGCCATCGGCTGTATGGAGCGCACTGGAAATCATTCCCCGCACCTCGGAGTCTCACTGCTGTCTGCTGTCTTGCCCAAATTTTCAGTGATTGCTTCGGTGCTGCGTGCAGGTGCTCAGGGTAGGGTCAGGGACTTGATCCGTGTGAGGGAGGCCGGCGGGCTCGGAGATCGGCCTTAGCGGCGCCAAGCGGGCCGAGCGGTTTCGGTCAGATACGCTCTTGCCGACTCCACCTTGCTGACGCAGCGACTTCCTGTATGCTTGGAGGCAGCCTGGAAAGGAGAAGCCCCAAAGCTCTAGAATCTCTAGAAGGCTCAGCAGAACAACTCGACCAGAGATGCATCCTTTTAACTTCGAAGTTGTCTCATGCTTTGAGGAACTACGAAGAGTCGCGATCGCGGCACTTCTACCCTGCTCTCGGCACCTCGGTCTGGAGCCCTTGTGGCTGGCAGCTAAACAATTTCAGCACACAACGAGGTGGATAGGTCGAAGTTTGGATTCCACTACAACCGATAAGTGCTCCATGAATGCGTGAGTGTAGCTAGAGCTGCGGCCATTTGCAGCTTTGTGCTCGGGCTGTGATGGCAAGAGCAGTCTGATCACTTGAAGCGCTGAAAGATTCCGTTGTAGAAGTCCTTGGTTGGTGGCGGCCGCGAATGCTACCGCCAATGAGCGCAATGCTACTCCGATAATGACTAATAAGTACTTTTACTTTGGTGCTGAAACTGCTTCCTTTGTTGCTTTAGATGCGATTAGCAGTTTTGCACAATGCAGTGATCTAGTAACCGTCTTGGTTACAATCGTAAACTGAACATATGCTGTGGCAATTGCTTTCCGGAGTGCATGCTCTCCTCGAGGAAATCGGTCAAGCACTTCCTGCATTCGCCCTCATGTGGCGATTCCGGTTCCCGATAATATGTCTTAAGCACGCCCCCTCATCGGGCGATTCCGGTTCATCATATTTGCCTCGAACACACCCCTTCACTTGGCGATTCCGTTCATAAATATTGAACACGCCCCAACGATCAATTCGAGTATGAAGTGGAGAACTCGCACAACAACTCCTTGACATTCAGTATCAACAGGTGTCTCCTAAAGACTGGCACACAGCAAAGCACAAGGCAACAAGCAAGAAAACCTAAAAGCCACAAGCAAAAACATCAACAAGCCACATATAGCCATTAAAAAGTGGAGGCCAAGGCCCCAGAACCAACCGAAAAGACAATCAGGGTAACACGCCACCTTCTGCGTCGGCCTTGCTGCAGCACCTGCATTGCCGGTGCGCCCTCTATTGCTGCAGAATGCTGCAGCCTGGATCTCAACAACTCTTGGGTTGCCCAAGCATCGATGCCCTTGATATCGAGAGGGTCAAAGCCAAACTGCTCAGCGAGGAGCTGCTTGACCGCCCTGAGCTTGCACGGGTATCCGACAAGCAAAGCCTTCTGCAAAAGCTCCTGTGGCCATTTTTGCCTAAGGTTCGGAAGTTGAAGTGTGCGTGGCGGTGGAATGGACAAGTAATCGACCATTGTCAACTGCTTCGTCGAGTTGTCTTGAAACGTGACAACCTTATTATGATCAGTTGTCGACGCTACAAGAGCGCCTGCGCGGATCTGTAGTCCACACTCTGAGGGCTGTGCAAGATCGATAGAAGACATTATGCGGTCGCCCTCTGCTTCATCAACAAAATATGGATAATGAGCTGAGCTCGACATGTTCTTCTGCAGAACATACATCGCACAATTGTCGGGATTCCTTGGCCAAACATGTGGAACGGTTAACAGCTCTTTGCTCCACCAACATGATGGCAGGCAAACAAACTTCGGCAGATGCACAAAAGGCCTGCTGTGCAAGTGGAGCTGCCAAACCGTGTGAAAGGTGTTGGGCGACCAGTGGAATAACTGCATCAAGATTAACCGCATGGTCAATCCGTGGGTAACAACTATAATGGAACTGGCTCCGCTTTGTTCCATCAGGTGTCCTGAGACCGCAGGGGAGCAGACCACGGCGAACTGCCGCGACAGTCAAAAAGGCAGACAAAGCCGTGACGCAAACAACCCAGCTTTCACCGGGCTGCTATCCATCATCGAATCCCACCACTGTCTGGTTCTGTCATAGACATCAGCACCGCTCTCCCCAGTCGGGAAGCGATACCTTAACATCGGGACCAACAAAGCACTTCTCTGCGGCAGTTACATGTACACCACTTCTGCCACTGCTCCGTGTGTCAGGCTCTGATGTTCAGGGTAAAGGCGGCACCCACTGTGGTTCCGTGTTGACAGTTTCGATAGACGTGTACAGACGTCGAACTCTTCCCACTGTCCCACTGCGTCCTCCGGGGTCCCCCGATTCACTCCGATTCTTGGTACATTCCAATACAGTGGCTTTCCTTTTGCAATCGAAACGCTCGAAATGCCCTAACAGTGCCACATAACTACGTGTGCTGTGCCCTCAAAACGCTCGAAGTGCCTCAATCCTAGCAGGTCCTAGCAGGTACCATGAGGGACAATTTTGAGGCTACGCAAGCTGGTGCCGCCGTCCCCGCTGGTAGTCCTGGTGTAGTCACGTGGCGCTCTAGGTCATCGTAGTCATACAGTTGTCTTCGGGGTATGCATGGTCCGCTGCGCAGTCTTTCACTGTTGGGGAATCTCGCAGCAAAATGTCGCAGAGCTCCTACCTCACTCCTACTCTGCCATTTCTCCAAGGAGCCAAAATCTTCTGATCTTCGTGCTCTCTTGACGAAGGCCGACGAAGTTGTCACCTTTCAGGTTTCCGTGTGTGTAATGAGCGATTGACTAGGAAAGAGCTGGAACTAGTTAGGACTCTTAGCTTAGGTCCACGCCTTGCAAGTTTCCAAACTCTTGCTCACGAATTCTGGGATCCACAGAGACATCTACAACCTGGTAAGGATCGAAAGCGGAGAAGATCATGTTTCTGGCCTCAGCTGCCCAGCTGCCAGAACACGAATCGCAATTTGGTCATGCATCGTGCGTTTGAAGCCCTGAGCCCCACACAGTTTGCAACGTTCGTTGAAAAGGAGAAACATAGAAGTGGACCTTCTCATCCTGGCGTTGCCCAGGCATTTGCTGGAGCTCAAACCCATGCCATCACTGGAATTCTCGGAAAGGCCGAGACGCATGTACAACCTTCTTGACACGCTTGCCCACAGCCACCGCCTGCCTGCTCCCCAACCTCAGCAGGAACTCCCTTCGGCTTGTGAGGGTGGCAACATTCCATGAGAACCTGTTCTCTTGTGCTCGGACCGTCCAGGTATAAAGCGTTAGCCTCCTCTAGGCGGCCATTGCCAGACTGCTAGGCAGTAGGACCGTTTCTCGGCTGCTTTGAGGATGTCTACGGGGACTTTACAGGTTGTGTCGGCAGCATCTGCCCGTGGATCGCCAAAGACCATTAGAGCGACCGAGAGCCACTTGAGAGCCTCTGAATGTGTTCTGTAACGGTCACAGAGCTTGCAGCACAGATATAGAACCGGAAAGTCTCAGCAAGAGAACTGGAAAACACATTAAATTACATTGGCACACGAGCAGTGTCACGGTGTTCCGGAATGAGAACTCGGCCAGTGCATTCTTGGAAAGCTCAGGGCACGACTCAGTGAGTTCCATGAGGTTATCGCCCTTCGTTTTGAACAGCGTCTTGTCAAGGTTCCTTTGCTGTTTGCTGGATACAGAGGCTTGAGTTGGAATTCTCCAAACGCGACCTACTCCGGGAACTCGAGAAGCAGCAGTTCCGACTTTTGCGCAAGAACTCATCACACTCATGGTTAAGACTGCCAATGGAAGCAGGCCTCCCTTCTGATTGGCCATGTCCTTAGCCGAGAGAAGAACATCCTGCCTAGATGGCTGCATGGAAACGCTCGCGATGCATCCGAGACTCGAACTAGTATAATCTTCAATGGCAGCTTTTCTCGCCTAGCCTCTGCATATCTGCGCAGGACCTCGACCCCTCGGTCTCCTGGAAGTGGCGTGACTGTCATGACAGCAAGAAGACGCCAGTCTGCATGCTACTGCAAACTGCCGCTCAGCCACGATAGGCATTGAGACCGTAGGCTGCCAGCAGCCTCGAAGTCTCACAGACTCTCACGGAGCGAATTTCTTTACAATTTACAATCACAGCGATTACGTAGACAAAGCGCCCTGATGCGCCGCCCAGCACACCGCACAGTAGCAAATGGCGCCGCTGCAAAGGTGGAGGCGCAGACATTGCCAGGTGAATGTTGCACGCGCGCGTCAGGGCAAAGTACGTTACGATGGGCTTGGCTGGGGTTACGGGTGCCATCGCTACCGGCGACCGAGTGATTCCATCTGTTGTTGAGTGGCGGTTGATAACACGAAGCGTGCGCTCGTGGTGGAGGGCCCAGAGGCCCCAGGCCATGCAATTGCTTGGCAGGCTTGGCAGTGTTGTTTCTGGCATCGCGGGACAAGAGCTTGACTTTCCTGGGCAGCCGCTCTTTCAGTAGGTGCCTCCGAGCTCCTCATATCTGCAAACTCTCGTTTGGCCAGCATGTCAGAGACACCGTGACAAGCACCACCTAATGTAAACCCTGTCGGCAACAGATTTTGGTCTCGCTCCCAAATGGTTAGATACATGCATGTCCATGCCTGGGCCGAAGCAGCTTCGGCTTTCAGACTTGTGACTAGAATTCCTTTTGAGATATGACTCGACGCTAGGACCGAGTCTCTGACTGCAGCCGCTCACATGCGGCCTGGGAGCTGATCGGCTGATCTGCCTGAGGCACCTCTCAACGGTGCCGTGCCTCCAGCTCTGCTGCATCGGCTCCGCTCGCCATAGCCTCAATGCGATAGCGGAAAGCGGAAAGTCCTTCGAGCGAGCGCAGGCTGCTTCCACCGTGAGCTTTTAAAGCGCCTCCGAAACAAGGCCGACCAGTTCAGGCATTACCTCGTCAATCTGGAGCATGGACGCAACCTGCAAGTCTCTCAGCAGTCGCGCAATCGATGCTTCAGCCCATCCAAAAGCTCTTGGCAGCCTGCGCAAGCTGCAGTAATTCTGTCAAGGAGGATGGGTGCCAAAGTGCCGTCAGGCGGGCCTGGCAACTGCGCACGTGCGTAACGATTTGCCATGCCAGTCCTGCCTCACAATGAGAATCCACAGCCAGCCGGCCTGCAAAAGCTGTAATTGTGGAGAAATGCCCAAAAACTATGCAAGGGGTTCTTGCATCGGGGCTTTGCCTAGAAGAGCTTCCAGGATGCCGATGTGGCAGCCAGCGGGCATGAAGACCTGTTCCATCCATATCCCACTTGGCGACAGCAGCCGGAAACTTCCACGCGACTGCCGAAAATGCCTTGAAAACGCAGAGCAGAACCCGGTTTTCTGCCGACATGTACAGATGCTCAGCATGGCCCCATCTTCGCCCGCCGCGAGCTTGGCCACCGAGTTCTAGAGGGTGACGCCGTTCTGCTCCAGCTTCGTGCCAGAAGACACGCTGGCTTGCTGTCTCAGGCGCTGGTGGCCGTCACAGAAGCATTGAGACATCAGAGGCTGCACTCACCCAATGTGGATCCCCTGGACATACGAGAGGAAAAGCTCGTAGATTTCCTGCTTGTCAGAGCGCCCATGTCACCAACATGTTCAACTTTAATCGAACATCCAACTCTCTAGACTAGACCGACTAGACCAGACCTACATTGTCGGCGACGCAGGCACCGTTGTTTGGGCATTTTGTCTTTCATCATACTCAGTCACGCTCGATCTTCTCCTCCTGGCCTTGACTCGTCACCAAGGCACAAGTTTCAGTCAGCAAAACGTGAAAGCGCTTCACCTCGTGGCTAATTAGGAGGTATTGGAACGGGTGTGCAAAGCCTTCGGGCTCCCCAGCATGGCTCAGCAGCCTATAGTGAGACAAGCAGGCAGAACCCGCGCTTTTCAAGAATATGCTTTGCTGGACGACTCAAACAACAACAAGTCTATGGATTCACACAGCATGCCGCGAGAAGGGGGCTTCGCGTGTGGTTGCATTCCCGCTCTTCCCTTCGCCTCTTATGGAGGGTGCTCATTCATTACAGAAGTGCTTGTCAGTGATCCTTGCACTCGCTTCGCTTGCCCTTTGTGCCAGCCACAGCCCTGCAAAGAGCGAGCTTCATCTTCTTCCACACTGCCAAGAGAGCAGGTTTGCCCCCACTCTCCGCGCGGGCACACGCCCTGGTTGTCTGGTCTGTTGCGAACTCAGCAGGATGAGGCTATGGGTTGCACCGCACTTATAATTTTAGCAGTATACTAAGGCAGCTACTTGCTCTGTTGCCGCCAAGCGAGCTTTCCCCCTTTGCTTTGCTCAGGGGCAAGAGCTGCAAGCAGTCATAGCCCCCCTTGCTTGCTTGCTAATGGGTGTGGGTCTGCAGGGAGACCCTGGCCCGAGGGCCTACCCCAACAAAGGTTCGCGACTGTCGGTCTTCAAGGCCCCTTTCGGGGTTGAGCGATGCCCACGTTCCCCCAGATGTGCCTGTCTACCCGCACAACACGCAGTCCTTGCCCCCTCTCTCACTCTCTCTCCTTCTGTTTGGGACTCTGTCTGTCGGCATGAGGCGACGTTTGTGCGTTCGTCTATGGCTGTCTTTGTTGTTGATGCCGGTTGGCTTTCGGGGCGCCGTGGTGTGACCCTCTCCGCCCCTCATAGGCAGGAAGATTGCCGAGCGTCCTCTGCCCTCGGAACAAGTAATCCCTCGCCTGCGGTCCATGCAGTCCAGCCGGGACGTTGAGGAAAGATCGCGTGTTCGAGAAACGACAGACAATGAAACCAGGGACTGCCAGGGACTACAACCGCACCACCACTGGCCACCCAGTGGTTCGCTTTGGCGCATGGATCACGTTTGCTTTCATTGCAGGCGAACTCCTCCAATCTCTGCCGCTTCTGCTCGGCACCTCGCCGCACGTGCAGCGCTGAGAGTCGTCAGCTCTGGTCGCGCACGGCTTCTGATGTTTTGCGCACTGAGGAGTTGGCTCATTGGCATTTTGCCCTCTTTCGAGAGGAATAGATCATCCTTCGTTGGCGGGCGCCTGCAGCGAAATATTATGAACCAATGCCTGCGCTTGTCTTTGTCAAAAGCACACACACGCCTTATCAGTGCCTTGGGTGGAACGCTGCCACTGGGTTCGTATCGAAATGTGTAGACCTCGTTGCTGCAGCTTTGCTGAGTTCTACAGCCTGCTGTGCCCCAGGCCATGTCGGAGCCCTTCGACTGGCATCGGTAGTTCTCCTCCGGCCAGGTCCGTGGTCGCCACAGGAAGTACAGTAGAAGCCAGAAAGTTGGAACATGGCTTTAGGAGGATTAGTGCTAGGATCTCTTATACTTTACCTTAAGGGCATGAGGACACTTATGTTCCAACTTTCTGGCTTCTACTATAGATGCGCAGTCTTCAGGCCTTCTCATCTGGACGTCTGTTGGAATCTCGCCGATCCCCGTATGACCGATGGTAGTACCTGCGTGGTCGAAGAACAAACAGAACAAGCACCAGTCGGTGAGCGCTGGCGACCGGCCTCAGGCTCCACTCGAGAAACGGCATCGTCTCGACGTGGAGGAACTCGCCTAGAACGGCAACGGCGCTTCAACACCAGATCAGCATCTGTCTGCTTGGACCGCTTGGGTGCATGTTGAGGCACTGTTTTGCGCTCCGCTCAGGATATCGGAAAACCTTAGCTGAGCGGCTGAGCGAGCACGGTCTGCATAGACGGCAGAAGCCCGGCAAGGCAAACATGCTTCGTCACGTCAATCCAAGGAGCCGAACTCCTGAGAGCATGGGCAAGCCGTTGTCTCTGTCAAGGGCACAAGGCAAACTCGAAAGCCGAACAAGAATATACAGCATGCATCGTCCTGTGGCGTTGGAGTTGGAAGCAACTTTCACCACGCCGCCGGGCTTCACAAAACCTCGCAAGGCCTGTATGGTGCACTGAGTGGCAGGAAAACACACAGGCAATGCGCGGACATGGCACAGCCAAGCGAATGTCACCCCACCCGGAAGAAGAGGTGCATCAAGTTCTCATGTCGCCACCCTGGGAATCTGAGAACAGATGAAACAACATCCATTCGATGGGGTTGCGTTGAGTGCCATTGCCGCTGTTGCCGCCATGCGGCTCACAAAGGGGTGGCCATCAAAAAAGCCCTGCACCACTCCAGCATGTGGAAAGTTGTAGTACACGGCCCCAAAGCTGTTCTCCATGCCCTGTGCATGTCTGGCGACGGCAAGTCTTCAATCTTATGAGCCCCACAGTTACAACTCCTTCAACAACACCAGGGTCACCAGGACCTCGCTTGTCTGCAAGCTTCCTGTTTCTAGCTGTCGCAGAACCGCAGAAGCTGCCCAAGCCTATCCAAGCCTCGACAAACCGCCTGAATACCTCGAGCCCACCCGCCTGGAAACGCGGATCGACAGCAAGCCGGGTGCCATCCACATTGTGCAGGACTTCTGCATGCCTGTCCTCCAGCTCCTCCGACTTTGCAGCGAAGCAGTCTTTATGGATGCATCGCACAATTCCGAACTGCTTGCGATGGCACCACGCAGCTCCATCTTCCTTTCTTCCCACACATACTCGCAACATAGGACTCCTTGACAGTGCTCTCAATCTCCGGATAGCGTTCACCTGAGATCCAGGGGTACACGGCGACGTGTGCGGCTGGCAATGCCGCTTTGCCAACAAGAGAGTAGGTGTGGACGGTGGCTGCTCTGCAACCAGAGAGCGCAAGACTTCGATCGTCTCGAATGTGGTGGCAACGATGCGGCCGACGTGACCCAAAGCCTGCCCCATCAGTTTATGAATTCAAAGGCAGAGACATCCCCTGGCCTCACGATGCTTCGCAAGCAGCTGAGAGAACGTCAGGTTCGCGTCGCCCACCTTCACGGCCAAAACAGATGCTCTTAAGCACGCGAAGCGCAGATCGCAATCATGCAATACGGAGAGGCTACTTCGCAAGCCAGAAGTAAGTAAGGGGTGTAGTGTAGCCAGCACACAGACTTCTGGCACCGGTTTGCTGCCCCAGCGGCCACAAGAGCGTCGTCAACGGGGTTGATAAGTTCCAGGCGGTTAAACCTGACATCGGCATGAGAATCTCCCGCAGAACGCGATCCCCGCGTGTTTTCTTGCAAGATTATAAGACGGCGGGAGCCCGGCACCGGGAAGCAACAGCACCGGGAGCGGCGCGCCTGCTGCAGGTCAGCGGTCCGGGCTTCTCGGCGGCGGCCTCCTCGGTCCGCTCCACGTCCTCGCAGCTCGCGGCCGGCGGGGAACAACGCGTGGCCGGGCTGCAAAGCGCCGCACGGGCTCACGGAAGCTCCTCGGCCGACACTAGCAAGGCGGCCTCGTCCGAGAGCTGCGACACGGAGGAGGTGCCATCAAACTCCTGGATCTCAATTCATCTTTCATCCATCTCAAAGCCTCCAACTTCAGAAACTCGACCGTGACACACACCACAGTGTAGCGGTGCTACACTATACTATGCCAATAACCCGAAGCCGAAATCTCCTTCATGACATGCCGCAGGTCCTGAGCCAGATGCTTTACTTTCGCTGCTACAGGCACTGCTCTCAAAGCTTCTACCAGGGCGTGCTTTCTAACCTTATGCTGCTTTCTTCCCCAGGTGTGCAGAAGATGGCATGGCCAATCTTGTCAGCTGATTTGCACTTCCAGCTCTCGATTATATAGCCGTAGGCAGTCAAACACTGCGCGCTTTGGCATCCCATGATCGAAGTTTACACGACTAGCTGCATGTACGCATGCTGACTCTGCCCACTCGTGCAAGTCGCTACCGGCCCGGAACCCTCCGCGTGCATCGTGCTGAGTTGCGCAAATTCAGTTCTTACACACCCTGCAGCGCCTTGTGCGACAGCTTCCGGAGCACTGCAACATCTGCAGCTGGAAGGTCCCACCTCCGCGCAAACGCGGTGACCTAAGCCGTGGGCCCCATAGGACACCACTTTCAACCAGACTGCACCTCTCACTTGGACAGACGAGGCCCAGACCACATCAATTTGGCTTCCACGAGACGGGCCGTATGCATCCTCAATCACACTAGCTCACAGTCCAAGCTGAAGCTGCTCAGCGCACAGGTCCTCCCGGAACTTTAATATGGTCCTCAGATTCAGAAGCAGGCAGTGGAAAGGTCAGCACCTTGCACGTCGGAGACTTGCTGCTTGGACACTCATTGAGCTGCTCAGCCGCCGTTTTGTGCGTTCCATCTGCACGAGGTGCCCAAGCTTGAGGCCTTGCGATGCAGGGACACTCTGTGGACGATGGTGCAGAGTTCGGTGGATTCATGACCCTGTGACCCCGTGCCTCCAACCTGCAGCCTGTACTTTTCGAAGCTCATCAATTGCCGCTGCCTGACACATCTTGCTTGGTGCCAGGTTGCATGCACTATCACGTGACTGTACTGCACTGTCGTAATCCACACCTCGGAGTGCATGTCTGCGGGAGCTTGGTAGGCCACTAGAGAACACACAGCACCCGGTCTCTGAAAGCTGAAGCCACAGGCCGACAAAGCAAGCCTAACTTACCAAGCTATCAGCAGGTTCAATTTCAACCTAAATAGTACATGACGCAAGATCAGCAAACTGACATGGCAGTGTATCCTGCCGGCACCCTAATGAATTACTTCTGATGGCTCCTGGACGAGGATCAAACACCGAAACCCTCGCTGCCAAGGATGGCCTGCATCACGTAGCGCACCGCCCGTTCGGCTGACAACCCCCACCGAGAAAGGAGCTGTGCCCTGAGGACAGGGACTGCGATCCGGGGATTGAGTTACCTCTTGAGTAGCCTAAGCCACTGGATGTAAGGTCCATCGAGGCTCTTCTACGCCGCTGCTGGAGAACCAGCAACAGCAGACTTGAACAGCAAGTTGATCGATCGAAAACAACTCGCTTGGGCAGGGATTCTGGTAAATTCGAGCGCCACCCGTCGCGATCCGTCAAGAACTTCACTCCAATCGGGTGCGCTCATGCAAATGGTGTGCTGGACAGAAGCTGCTAAGCAGCCGTTTAGCCCGTCCGGAAAATTGAAGCCGAGGTCTCCGCTTCTCGGGATCCAAGTCCACGGCTGCCTCCCCTTTGTGCCTCCTGAGTAAAAGAGAGGAAGGCGAGGGAGAGAAAGGTTTGTATACTTCTCCTACTTCTCTGTACATGCATATGGGCGTTGGGCTGCGGCACTGCGGCGTTGTGTGTGTGCGCTTCTGTGTCTGTATGTCTGTGTGTGTCTGTCTGTCTGTCTGTCTGTCTGTCTGTCTGTCTGTCTGTCTGTCTGTCTGTCTGTCTGTCTGTCTGTCTGTGCATGTTCCAGATTGTTCCAGTGCAAGAGCAAGTATAAGTGTAAGTGTATTGATCTCTGTGTGTGTGTGTGTGTGTGTACGTCTGAGTGTGGTAACGACGTTGGCAGAGACTGTTTGTTGCGCGGAGGCCGCGCGCTGCTGCAAGCAAGCACGTATGTACTGCCATGATGTGCCATGAAGCTAAAGCCTGCAAAATAACAACAATATCAACAATAGTGCCTTGACCGACCTCATTGCGCGTCGGAGTGCCCTTGCGTCAGCAATGACTCGGCCATCCACGAGCGGTTTCGATCTGTCCCCGTGGCAGCTTAACTAATTACTGAAAGGTCAGACATGAGCCTGCCACGTAGACGCACTCGGCCACGTCAGCACAAAGCGTTAGGTTGCCATGCTGCTTAAACAGATGAGCCATGTTTTTTTTTGTGAGGGGGGTGTTCTCTACTAATTACCTAAGTGGCAAACGATAACTCCAGCAAGCTCCCAGAGCTAGCTTTCATGAACTAGTATGCATTTGCATATGCTTGCGCATGTGCAGGTACATGTACGTGTAAATGTATATGTATATGTCTATGTATATGCGTGCGTTTATGCATAGGTGCACGTAGTTTTTCTTGTTGTCTATACAAATGTAGATGCCTCTACTAGATTGAATGAATGTATATACCTACATACATACCTATATATATATACACACACATATATATATATACAGACATACCTGCGCATAGAGTCGCATCCCCGTGCATAAATACATACATACATACATACATACATACGTACTTACGTATATACGTACATCCATGCATGCATGAATGTATGCCTGCATGTGTACATACACATACATACCTACATACAGACATACATACATTCACACATACTTTCAAACATACGTACATACATACATACATGCACCTACCTATCTATACCTCTTACATAGATACACACATACGCACACACAGACACAATGCAGCACGCGCACAAACATACATACCTATGCACGTCGTATGTACGTGCGTACCTGGGTACGTCACGCATTCATGCATACCTACCTACCTTCCCACCTACCTACCTCCCTTCTTTCTTCGACGATCCTACCGAACCCTCAAATACGCACGGATGGTGATGATGATGATGACGAGGATGCAGCCTTGCACATGCTTTCAGCACGCAGCCTCTCCCCCATCACCCACTTCGTAAGCTGAGATCGGATCTTCGCCGCAGGCTCGTCTGTCTGCTCCGTGCCTGAAAGCCTCAAGGAGTTTCGATGGTTCAGGGCTAGGATGCAGCTGCATGCCGCTACAAGCATGCCGAAATAGTCAAACAGTTTTGACACTCCGATCGGTGTGCTTCGGCTAGTCGTCGTTCTGGGTATCGGCTCCATCTGCCAAGAATGTCGCGAAAAGAGACAGACAACTGAACGGAGACTCGACTACAGACACATGCGACACGACGCGCAGTCAAGAAAACGCAGTCCGAACTTCAGCGGCATCAGATCGTCCAACCATATTAGAGGCGCGGCAAGTTGGAGTCTTCATTATAGAAGTGTGTCTCAGACCATCTGGAGCTGACGCTGACTACATGCCACAGCACAATCCCAGAACGAGTAACGGGGCCGAAGGTTCGCTGCATTACATCTCAAACGAAGTCTTACTAGTTGGGAGAATAGCTGTGGCAAGCGGAAACTAGCCGCAGGTAGGCTGCATGCATGTCAAGACGCATGCGCCGAAGCTGCATGCTTCCTTGAACGGCTTCGCGCATGTCCTCTGCCACATCCTGACCGGCAATGGAGCTCCAGAGACCTCTGGAGAGCTGACGAACCATACATACATATCTGAGATATCTGCATACCGGTACTGCAGACCTGAAAGGTGCCCATCGGTCCTCCACATCCAGGTCGTCTTCGCGTGCGGGCGATGTCTCCTCAAATGGACGGGCACGTAAGTTGCAAGAGCAATGTTGCCAGTGTTGCTGTCCACTCCTCGGCTGCCACATTGCCCTCTGCGTCTTCGCTCAACTCCGCCACGGCATCGTCCAAAACATCAAGGGCATCAATGTCCTTTGCTAGAACATGCAAGATCATGAAGGATTGCAAAAAACACTCTGCCCGAAGTATTCGAATTGGATGGAACTTGATCTCCATGCTTGCAAAATGTTGCTGGCAAGGGTCTTCCACGTTCGCCTCTGCATTCTCAAACTCATCCAATACTGGATCCTGAGACTGAGAAGGCTTTGGCATGGCTTGGCGAAACTGCCTGCCAAGCCTACAAAGCGCGGTGATACATGGTAAATTGAAGCTTTACGTGCCTGACAGAGCTCTTCCACATCTGGTTCATCCTGGAACTCATCGACGGGATCCTCCACGCCACAGACGGAAAAGCGTCATCGCTAGCGCTTAGAGCGGACGTGGCAAGCCGTTGCCAGTCCGAGTCCGAGCCCTGAGCCCTAAGCCCGTTTGCAAAGGCACTGTCCCTTGCCGTTTCCTCCTTCAGCTCGGCTGTGGCCAGAACCTGCCACCATGGCAGAGTCGATTGCATAGCTGCATAGCTACATGTGCCTGAGAATCCTTGGCCGGAGCGGATGTCTTTCTGAGGATGGGCGCAAAGCTTCTCGGAAGACTGTAGGCTGGACGCGGCTGAGATGCCTGCCAGCCATTCGATGCCCTCTGGCACTTGCAACTCGTCGCGCTAGCCCCGAGCCGCACTGGCCTTGCCAATGACTGGGCGACTAAAGGCTGCCGGGCGATTGGCTGTGGCGCTTGTGATGGGTCGGTACACCACCTCAGCAGTCAGGTGTAGGGATGCACAGTTCAGCGGTAAGCTGAGATCTCCATGCGAATCAAGGCACCATGTCATCGGGCCATGATAGGCCGGACCACTGTGATTCAGCACACTACTTGGGCCGAAGAACTCGCACAACACGAGCGAATGAGATGAAAAACAGCTGCTGCCAAAACCTCACCTGAAACCATGCGGCTCCAAGATCTGAAAAGTTCAACTAGACTTAACTAGGGAAGACACTGTGCAGCTCAGAAACCGCGAGCACAAGCACTAACCGTTGCCTGCACTCTGGGAATGTGGTCGCCAAGAACATCTGTCTTGCTCTGTCTCCACCTCAGATGCAACGCGCAGTACAAATTCCTAGCAGGCGTGCGAGAGCACGCTTGGCGTGTTGCTGAAACACCTTCGACGAGGCATGGACTCATCTGCCAGAGCTGCTGCAATGTACCTCAGACGCGCAGCGAACGAGTGAGCAAAGCTGATGATGGCCACTCATCCCGGTCTTGATTTGTCCTCAATTAATTATGTGCTTCGGGCACGGTATGCGGGTGGCCACCCCAGCGGTGACATCGATCAACTCCGGACGAGAAGCAGGCCTGTCGAATCTGCAGCATCGCGTCATCAGGATGTCAAGCCGAACAGTTGCTCCGGTCTCCGGCAGGCCTGCAGCCCTCTGGCCCCTCAGAAGGCACCTCTGAAAAATGTGCTTCTCAACTCTCAACGCAAGATGAGGGGCCATGAGGCTGTACGTTCCTGCCCTTTGGACTACTACTTACGGAAATTGATGAACTACCCCCAGCTGTACTTGTTGGGGCTGGAGACTGGTGCAACAACCCCCCAAACTCGCAGGCATTTTAGTACCCCTGAAACTCAGAGAAACCAAAAGAAGGATTCTGTGAAGCTCGTCTTCGCGAGCATAGGGCTGTACCACCGCGTATGGCCACAGCTCCCAACCAACCAATCATGGTGGGGTCGTTAGCAGAGGGTCCACAGACAATCCGAGGTTTGGTCTCGACCAGAGCTCTTTGGCCAGCGATGGACTCTGATTCTGAGCGTGGCAGTCTTCGAAGGGTGTACGCGGCTGGAGTCCAGATCCGATGGAGGATCAGTGGCTGTAGCAAACCTCGGGCATCGTGAAGTCGCGTTCAGATCAAGGAGGTCTTCTTCAGGTAACGCGGTCTTCGCCACTGCAAGCCGCGCTCTTCGAAACCCGACGATCGAAGCTAACCTGGACTTCTCCCACGCTAAAAGGAGCATTGGCCTGGACATCTGCCTCCGAGGCGTGGACCTGAACTCTCTTGTTTACTCTCAACTGCGGTGAAAAGGCGGGGGCTGGGACTCTGACCTCCAAGGAGACAAAGCGGGGAGACTGCCGAAGACGAGGCGACCTGAGCGCCTGAATTTCGCAGAGCACGAGATCACGACCGTGGCATATCACGACATCTCCTGCATGCCCTGCCTCGGCTGGTGGGTGATTTGAGGTCGACATGGCAACATGCACTCCAATGTCACACTTACGGCTGCGGTTGAATCTCGACTTGTGCCTCTGCCTAACTACTTTTTTCAGGAAGTTCCTGATATTCACTGCATCTTGTAAACCATTGTAAACTGCATCTGTTCACCTGTCGGCGTGGTGCGGGAAGGCCGTCACTCCACATGACTCTAAACAGGGCTCCCCTTGGCGACCAAAATTTCAGGACTCGCCCTCGTGCCCTATGCGAAGCTCAGCTTCATGTATCATTTAGGAACAGTACATAGCACTTGTTGGAAGCCATGAACATCCGTCAAAGCTTGCCCAGATCTCCTTGCTCGACAGATTCGTGGTCAATTCCCGGCCCTCGTTATGCCACCTCAACGCAGCTGCAGCTGTGTTCCGGCAGGTCCCAAGGGTCTGAGCAGGCGCGCGGGCCCTCCTTGCCGTCTGCTAGCGCAATTGCCTGAAGTTGCGGTTACCGGTCCAACTTTGTGAACTGCACATTGGGACATGAGCCTTGTCCAGGCAGGAATCGATCCAAGCAGAGTCTTCAACAGACCTGGGCTGCGCGAAGATGTTCTGTTGGGTACCGCCTTGCCAAGGCCGGCACGCCGGTTTTTCCACACCCTTCTCCAGCCGCAATCGCTTCTCCTGCGCCTTCGCTGGAAATTTGGAAGCTGGCACCTCGCAACTCCCATGATGGCGCTTGTGGGTCTCCTCCAGGACTTCCGCAAGGAAAGCGAGCCCGGCCTTGCATGCTTTGATTCCCATGCAAATGCTCCGATTTGGGGCTCTCACATGCATTCGCCAGATGAGGTAAATAGGCGCCAGACAGAGCCAGCCAGGTCCAAATCCCAAGTAAAATCCAAAGCCCAGTAAGAGGTCAAATATCGAAGGCAGTGCCACACTCTAAAGCCCGGACCGGGCTCGACGTAAGGTCCGGGCCATCACCAGAAGGCCTTGAGTCAAGAAGACTATGAAGAGAAGCCTGCACCACGGCCTGCAACGGCAAAGGTAAAATCTTAGACCTCTCCTCTCTCGGCCTGGCTAACCAGCTAGTCGGATCTAGTCGGCCTGGAAAGGCAGCCTGGGAGTAGCAGCTGCGGAGCCAGTGCTCCCATCTGGCACAAGCCGAGGCAAAGGCACAAGCTGTGAGCACGGACGACGGGAGCTGCTGTTCGATTGCTTTTCCTGTCGCCCGAGAACTCTTCACCAGTCATCATGAGAGCAGCATAGGCATGTGAGACCGCCTTCAATCTATTGATCCTTCGAAGGCCTTCAAACTATCGACCTTGTGAGACGGCCTTCAAGCTAACAATCCCGGTTGGCGGATCAGCTGTCTTAGCTGCGCCACGGTGACACGATTTTGTCAGAGATTCCCGGGCCAATCTCCTTTCATTCCGTACCATGGTAGCCGGCGCACCAAAAGCACTCTTCAGAGTGACACAGCGACAGAGCGCTTTTTGACTGGCGGCCACTCGGTTTCTGTACATCCAAGGAGCCGAAGGCGGCTTTCAGCTGTCATTCTTTCGCTGCTTCGCCTGGGCGCAAGGCGGCCAGGCCGAAGGATCCGGCGAGAGGCCGGAACACCACTCAGACTCAGCCGCCGGCATCGATGTATGATGGCTTTTGTCCAGCAATATGCGTCGAGAAGCAAGCCTCGGGACCTGGCTTTCCGCCATAGGTCTTTCCCTGGGTGTTCAAGAAACTCACGCCAGGCCGCCACAAGTCTAAGTCTAAGACTATGCTCCCGGCGGAATCTTTGGCTGACTCCTTGACCTCATTTATTTTCATGGCTTGCTCCTTGAAGACTTTCCTGGTGGCGGGGATGCGTTCTATCCTTCTTGCTAGTCATTTAGTCACCAAGCTCGGGCATGAAGTGCAAACCAGCATCTTTTGCCACTTGTTCTTCCGCAAGTCTAGCAAGTCTTCAATTGCAAAGCGGATGCGCTTGGAGAATGCCTGGCAGACTGTACGACAAGGATTGCACTCACAGCCTCTCCTCGAATTTGGCTCTTTCTTGTGACACACAGACTCCGCAACTACGAGATTCGCAAAGTGTCTGTGGCTTGAAGACAGCTGCCTGCTTGCCGTCGCTCGAGAGATGCTTCGACAAATCCTTCAGCCGAGCCTGGTCCAGGAGTCTCTCACAGCTGTGGTGACTATGATCACACGGTTTGCGCGCGGAGTGCCTAGGCTTGGGGGGGAATCAAAACTGGTGAGGTGAGTGATGGGTTTCGTCAGCAAGATGGCCAATCTTCAATCTGCTGGCTGTGAGTATTTCCGAAACGTGACTCAAAAGCTCTTGCATGGCCTAGAACGGAGGGCTCTGACTGCGGGGTGCCTGGAAGGAGTTCATCAAGCTTTCTCCGTGCGTGTTCTCATCGAGGGTGTGCCCGATGGCCTCCAGGTGTGCAGAACTTCTTTTTGTCTGTAGTTGGCGAGCCCGTAGGATTGCATCGGCCCTGCCGCCATTCCCTCGTCCTTCCCTTGCATCTCCTGCCTCGAGCAGCTGGCATACACACCTGAAAACCAGCACAATTACACATCAGGAATTGTAGAATGAACCCTTTCTTGCTGAGGCTCTGGTATAGAATATAGAAAACCAAATCAGTAGTCTTGGAAAGCATTGCTCCAATAATGGGCTTTCAACATGCCCTTCAACGACTTACATACGTGTTCGAAAAGCTCTTAAGGCTGTGTACATTCGTAGGTACGTCTCACACGCCGAGGCACTCAATCATGTGCTCTTCTGGCACAGTGTTGCCGTCCTTGATGCCGATAAGGTCGTGTACCACCTGCCCAATGACCTCGCACATGCGCAGACCAGACGAATGCAAATGCTGCTTCGTCCCAGCCTTCACTGCCAAAAGCTGCCGCAGAAACAAGTGACCAATAAACTTCCTTGTGATGAGCGGTTGTACAGAGCAAAATCCAAGCTGCCCTGAAAATTGAAAGTTGAGTGCATCTGCTCGCACAGCTGAAATCGAGAGTCATGTTGGCCAACATCATGTCCTTCTTCCGCTTCAGCCTCAATCTGAAATCTTCAACGCTGGCACTTGAAAGGTCAATGCTTCTGCATTTCGCATCTTCTTGCGGACTCTGAGAGTCGCCTTGCACAGAAGATTTCACATACGTGCCATCTTGTCAGCCGAAGCAACTCTAATTGGAGGTCCTCCGCATTGGGAAACTTAATTCGTTCCTCGTCCGTGGCTTCGAACGTGGATGGCATGTTCTCAAACTCGTTTTGGCCTTGGCAATTGACCGCCCTGGCTGAATTCACAAGCCCACATGCAGGAAATATGTTCAATCCAGGGCGCAGTTGTTCAGCAGCACCTGCCACACGGGTCACTGTGCAGGAAGCCCATGCTCGAGCTGCGCTTGACCTTTGCACCTTTCCACCTTGCACATTCCTCGCAAATGCAGCGAGCTTTCTGGGGTTGGCACCCTTGTGAAGGTGGCGGGCTTCTCCCCTTCACTTTCTGGTGGGAACTCTGGGTATCTTGCCTGGCAGCAGCAAGCTTCGCAACACTGGATCACGACACGACGACGACTACGTGGCTTGCTCGCCCTGCCAATTAGATTGCATTGCGGGCCAAGCTGAGACACCTTCAGGGCATATACCATGTCCGCATAAGTAGCACCTCGGTGTGGGCGGAACACTGTGTGCTCAAATGTGCTGCTCCATGCAACAATATCATCCATCTCATTTTGCCCGGTCGCAGTAATGAGGCTCTGCCAAGGCCTGCCACTAGATACGAGCCGCGCTCGCTTGCGAAGCTTGTCTGCCGGCCTTCTTGAAGATGATCTGAATAACATGCTTCAGTTCCTCGGCATTGTGGAGCTTTATGTTGGCCAGCTGGTCGACGATCTTGGCCAGGTTGTCTGGACAGATCTTGTTCAGCAAGCTGCGAGCCTGATCGTGGCAATTTTCAAGAGTGATGGCATGCGGTCTTGTTTTGTCGGTTTGTTTCTTCGTAACCGCGCAAGTGGCAGTATATGGGGGTCGCAAAACTGCCATGACTATCAATCAGATGGAGCACACACACTCGATAGCCGCAAGGTACATTGTCACTGAGGGTCGTGCATGTCTTTCCAGCTCCTCCATGCGGTCGTTGGCCTGCATCTTTCAAGGTGGCCAAACTCGGCTCGACTAGTCATGACATCGCCACATGGCAGCCTTGTCTTTTACCTTGTAAGCATTCTCGCCGGGCTTCAGAACCTGCGTCTCTTTTCTACCTGGGCAGATTCTGCGGACTTGCGCTGTGAGCACAGGCCGAGGCCGAGCTGCCTTTGTTCTTCATCTCCGTTCCGAAGACCTAAGTGCCACTGAGCGTGTTGGTGCGTTGAGGCTCGTCTGCCAACACAGCAGTGCCTGAATTCTACCTGTCTAGGCACGCGACATTTGCTCGATCAGGTGCCTCCTCTCGCTTCATAGACTTCTTCCTGACATCTGCACCGGCAACAGGCCATCACCACATCACTGCCAACTAGCCCTGCCTCTCCAGCGCTGGAGTCTTGTCTCCAGGACGAACGCTGGCAGATCTGCGGTAGTCAGGATCAGTACAGCAAGAGGATGTCCCTTGCCCCTTTCAAAAAATGTGCCGCCAAATCGCAACTCTGCCACTGCGCCATGCAACTCGCCCTTGTGCATCTGCCAAATCCTCAGCATCAGCTCACGACCTCGGTACGTTGGGAGTGCTGTTAAGGAGTTAAGGATCCAGCATTGCGTTACTTGCATGCCCATAGAGCGCGTGGAATGGCAGTGTGCCCGCACGCACTCGCGCACACACACACACGCACAAACACACACACTCTGACTGAATGACTGACTGACTGACACACACACACACACACATGCGCACGGACGTACACATCCGGTGGGCCAAGCAACTAAAGACCTTGTTCACTGGAGTCAAGTTGACCTGTGCGAGATCTTTGCAAGTTGTAAAGTTGACCCTCCTGAGTTGCAGTGCTGGTAGTTGTTCAGCTGAGCTTCATGAGAGGCCCCAGCAGGCTCCAGAGCTATAGCCTCTGCTTGCATCACCGACTCCTGTCACAAGCGGATATCCTGTAGCACTAGCACCCAGAGCGCTCCGGCCCGGGGGAAGGTCCTTCACCACCGCAGGCGGGGCATCCTTGATTGTCTCCTGTCGACGTTCTGGTGCAGGGCATGTTGAACGGGAAACAAACCTTTGCATCTGCACAGACGAAAACATGCTGGTGGATGCGCGTCTTGTCTCCTTCGGAGCGTCGGATTTTGCTTCGTCGTCAGCTTGCTTCGCCTTCACCTTGGACGTGGCGAGGGCCAGACACGATTAGGCTCGCAGAAACAGAGCTGGGCCAAAAGCGGGTAGCTTCTTGTTTTCGAGCTTGAAACCCTTCTTTAGGGGAGGTGGAGATGCCGTCGGTGGCGAAGATGCTTTAGGTTGCCTTGGCACGGGGGATATACTGCGAATACCTGTGGACTGCCAACAGTCAACATGTCCACCTCACATCACCATGCTGCTAGGCTGCACTGGCTGTGCCGGAGAAGGTGATGGCTGTGGAGAAATAGGATTCGCTGCTATGGGAACTGGTTGCTGCTGTGGTGGTTGGGTTGGTAACTGGGCCTCTTGCTGTGCTGGCGGTTCGGGCAACCTGGCCGTGGCCGGGTCGAAATACACTTCTCTGTGGTTTTGATTCTTCTTGGCAGCCGATGCTGTTCGCATGGGCTCGAGGTTCAAAGCTTTGATTGATGAGGCAAACTGGTGGACCGACAGTTGACTTGCCTTGGCTGGCATTGGCGTGGGTTGGTAACGCTGCACAGGGGCTGCAGCCGCAGTTCCAGTGGCTCCGGTTCCAGACTCGCGGGGTGCGCTCGGTGCGGGCGTCGTGTCCGAAGCTGGTGAAGCTTTTGGCCTCTCTGGATTGAGAGCCGTGGATGTCTGGGAGCTGGATGCCGTGGCCGTGCCTGCACCACCAGCCAGGGCGGCTGTACCGGCCGTGGCTGGGGCTGGGGCTGGGGCTGGGGCAGTCTTATCGATCTTCTTGTTTAAAAGCTTCTTTTTTCCAGCGGCTGCAGGGCCTGCAGCTGTAGGCGCTGTAGGACCTGCCGGACCCGCCGGACCCGCCGGACCTGGGGCTTGCATGGAAGCCGTCTGCATGCTACCATCGAAAGCCGTGGGCCCTTGGGTCGGCCCCGCTTCACGTGGGCGATCCTCGTGAGGCCTGGAATGCGGCATCTGCATCTGCTGGCCCCGCTGGGCATCTGGCATGTGCCCATGACCGCAGCCGTTGCAGCTGCACTGGGCCATGTTGGCCTGGCCCCAAGCAGGAGCTGGGGCTTGGCCTCCCTGGCATCCCTGGCATCCCTGCTGACATGCCTGGCACCCCTGACATCCGCTGTTCGGATCCATCATTTGCATCCCCTGTTGGGGCTGCTGCTGGTCGGGCATGATAGGCACAAGGACCATTTGCTGCATGCACCCGTTGCCAGGCGCCATCATAGTAGGCTGCATCTGGGCCATTTGCTGCTGTACATTTACGCCCATTTGCGAGACGTCTTGGTTCATGACGTAGGTATACCCACCATGGTCGTTTCCCATGTTAAAGTTCTGCATCTGGTGGTCGTAGCCTTGCATCTGCCCTTGGTTCATGTTAGAACCATCATTTTGCACCACGTGCCCTGCCTGGACGGGTGCCACGGCATAGTAATACCTTGCATCAGGCAGATCAACTTCTAGGAAAAAGCCCTTCTGTCATCACTTCTGATTGAGTCCCTGGCATCATCTGCTGTTGATTCTGTGCCATCGATGTAGGATGGCAGCTCTATGCCCTCATGCTACGGAGCTTTCGAGCACAAAAGTTCAGACTCAAGCTTTCCTTGAGCCAAAAAGCCCCGGAACGGGAGGTGAACTTCGACCTCAAAGCTGCAACTTGCCAGCACTGTCAAAAGTGTCATGCAGCGCAACGAGCCGGCATTGCAAGCAACATGGTGACAGCCTGGGCCCCATCTTCAGCGCACGTGCAGCAATGCAGGCTTGACTGATTTTCACGGGACCCTGGCAAGAAATCTGCAGTCTGCATCATGTAACGGCATGTAGTGTCCCGAAAGCGTTTAAAGTGGCAAAGTATCCCCGAACATCATCCCATCCCATCCCATCCCATCCCTCCATCCCTCCTTCCATCCATCCATGCATCCATTCATCCATGCCCATCTATACAGTCATCCATCCTTCCTTCCTTCGTCTACAGACCCCCTCCTATAAATATCTTCCAACCCTGCCAAAATCTTCCTATAAACTTCTCTACAAACGCGAAAACAGACTACAAACCCTCGCATAAACCTTCCGTAACCCCAAATGCAAACCTCCGCATTAACTTCTCTGTTAAACTGTTTAAACCCTTGCGCAAACGCTTCTTTTTCTATACAATTGTAATTTTGCGCAACTCCTTCCATAAACGCTTCTATGCCGTTCTATGCAACGTGCGGACGCAATTCAGGAGCACGGCGACAATGCTTTCCTCCCCCACTTAATGGTTTGTTCCAGGGACGTAACCAAAATCTTCCGCCAACTGCCAGCAAGTCCATTCGATCAAAAAGATCGAAGCGGCGCGGTGCGCAGCACACAGACACACCGGGTCCACCGAAAGTGCTCCAACGTGAGACCAAGTTGAAGCTTACACGTGTAAATGCCACTGCTATCCTTGATCTGTGTTTGCACCGTACGATGAATTCCACGATGCGGACTGCACCGATGTCATAATGAATCCCTGCGAGGATAAAGGGATCGGATGGGGATGAGGACAGCTCTGGGCTTGCACAGAAATCTGCAGAAACAACAATTGGTATCAATGCACGAAGCTGCCAACTTCACGAAATGTAAAGATTGGGCACAGCACAGTACAAAGTACATAATCGATGCAAATCTAATGTTGTTCTGCGCCAATCCGAGTCCAGCTCAGCCAGAAACCCATAAACCTGGAGGACGAATGGCGGGAGGAGGTGGGGCTCCTGAGATAAGCCTTTGCTCGAACACGTTCACGTAGTAGCTGAACAAACCTGCAAAAAGACTCCCTTCACCCAGTCCTGAAGTTGGCAAAATCTTGGTCTTTTCCATTTGCTGAGCTGAAGTCACATCCCCAACTGTACATATCCTCCATGACAAACTTTGGTCCCTGTCAATTCTGGATTTCCGACTTCTGTGCAAAAAACTGCTTCTGGCGCAGCTCTGTGTTTACCGTATGCAAAATGCAACCGCTTCATCGAGCATAGAGAATTTCACATGCGGAGGTGAAAGGGCTTCAATGACTTGTGACTTGTGAAAATTCAGCACACTCATGTCCAAGCCGATATACAGGCCGGTGGGTCTTGCTGCCGGCCATGCTAGCTACAGCTAAACAAACTTGAACAAAAGCGCCTGGAAGGAATTACCATACAGATGTAGCGAAACAAGACCTGCTGAAAATGGTAATGAAACACAACGAACTGCAAAGGTGTCAGTGTCAGTGTCACAATCAACTGAAAGACGTAGGATTATTGGGCTTGCAAGTATGGCCTTAACAGCATTTGTATGTTGACTTTGTGCCTTTTGCGTCATCAGGTCAAACAAAATGTCATGTAGCAGGTCTTGAGTTCTCTGAGCTTGTTGGCGCATGTTGGCGCTGCATCTGCTCCAGACGACACCCTCACGAAGCTCGGAGATTTGCTGCTGGTTGTCACGAGGAGGTTTTTGAAGGAACCACGAATGTCTGTTTCTTCGGTCGCGATATGTATCAAAGCATATCAAAGCATCCCGAAAGCGTGGTGCCGCCCTAGGCGGGCAGAAACGTGCCGCAGTGGCCGAGGTGCTTCACCGCCCACTGCATGGCGGTCCGGAGGTCGTGGCCGAACACGGCCGAGACGTTCGCCCGCACTCGATGGATGATGTCGACGATGTCTCCAGGAAGTGATGGGTCGGGACGTCGAGCGCTGAGGCGGTTGGCGGAGGACGCACCCGCCGTACTCGGGCCAGTCTGGATAGGTTGGTGGCATGCCCGTTGTTTAACGGGGCTTCCAACCAGGCGCCCAGCAAACCTGCATGTCAAATCCGTCCTCCAGGTCCTGCCGAAGGTCGCCCACCTCCGGGGACCCGACGTCGAAAGGTGGCCATGACGTGGGCGGGCGCGGTGGACATGGTGGGAACAAGCGCGGATAGTGCCAGGCAGTGATCTGGCGCCTGCCCCGCCATCCATCTGTCCTCGGCGTCTCTCGGGTTTGGCGGTCGACGGTGAAGCCGTGCAGGCGAAAGGAAGCTTGGGTAGCCGGCACTCGCAGGCCCTTCCATCGCCCAAGCCGTTCTCCGGGTCGGCGTTGAGGCTGAGCCAGCACGGGGGCTTCGGTTACCACAGCTGCACCCACTCCGCCACGACGACGTTATCAAGGAAGGCGACAACGGTCGAGCTCGGCTGAGCTCGTCCAGAGGGCGCAGTCGCCCAGACCACCAAGGCCGTGGCGTCAGGGTTGGCCTCGCGAATCAAGGCCGCGACCTCGGACTTTGTCGCGAAGCCGTCTAGCGCCGCCGCAACTACGCGGCGTGGATCTCCCAGCAGACGGAGAGGCGAGCGCCACCACTGGCCGCCCTGCTTGGCGGAACTTCTGCTGCTTTGCTGCCCTGACCCTTGCCGCCCTTCTCGCCCTTCTTGCCCGGACGAAAGCGCTCGCGTGCGCGCGGGCAGTCCGTTAGTCTTCCGACGCCTGTCGGTGGCATGGGCAGAGTGCAATCCGGCGGTCCCTTGTTGGGCTTGGCTTGGCGTTGGGGAAGTCCGCCAAGCAGTCACCCAGTGCGGTCGTCGTCATCCGGCACCCGGTGTGGGCGAAGCGGCGGGGGCGATCACCTCCTCCTCTTCACCGCCCGAATGGGCGCCATCGCCTGAAGAAGCCGTAGGCGCCGACGTCAAAATAGTTTCGGCGAGCTCGGTGGCGAGGGCAGCCAGGGAGACGAGATGAGACGAGGCGAAAGACGAAAAGGCGATCGAGCCGGCAGGATGCTGCGGCGATCGCAGCTGCTTGTTCCCACGCCCACACGTGTGCTACACATCAAATCAAGCATCCCTCCTGGTACCCAGCTTCGTTGGACCGGGCTGGTACCAAGGAGCCCTGTCCCCTGCTTTTTAAACATCGGCAACCACGGCATTACAGGATTTCACGAGGTGCGGCGACTCCGCTAGAGCCAACCTCACCAAGAGCATCACCACAGCATGCCATCCAGACAATGTCATCACATTGTTCCATCAAAACCACCTGCCCCCTTCGCCAAGCCTTCGGTAAAAAGTAGCACATCGTGTATCTGCGACTAGGAGGCGTGGAGATATGCGCGACATCTTGGGTTCAGCAGGAGCGAGCAGACCTTGGAGTGTCAAGCGCGCACACTTCTCGCAGATTTGCGGTCTGCAAAATCTGAACCATAAGCCTGCTGGGTCAACTTTTCCACCACAGTCTTCTCCTTCTCGGTCTGCGTGGGTGTTCGAGCATGATGCTCCTTCAAGATCAAAAAAACAGCAGACTCTTGGTGGATTAGCAGCAGACGCAGCAGCATCAAACCCTCACTCGAGCACCGAAACACATGGCTGCCAGCCGCCTTGCCAACCTCCGCCAAACTGCAGCCCGCAACGGGAGTGACAGATGCAGACCTGCTGAAATGCAACAATGCTTCCCCGGCTATCAGCGAATGCTTCGAAATACCGCCACATCCTGGTATTTAGCGCGCTGAAGAATTAACTGGAATCGCAACGTCAGCCTTTGCTGTGCAAGATGGAACTACGACAATCCTAGCTGTGCAAGCCGAGGGTCAAGCAGCCAGGAAGCTACTACTGCTACATCTACACCTCCTCGGAACAGGAGGATGGTGGTGAAACGGTGCTAGCCACACTCTTCCTCGTGGCGCGAATTCTGTGCAAAGACTCAGCTGGACTCTCTGCTCGGGTGCTGCGTGCCGGTGACTAGTACAAGTACCTTTGTGTGGGATGAGCCTTGGCACCCATGACAACGAATCGAGGAAAATTCGTACAAGAGATTCAGCAAGCGCTGCTCGTCAGCTCCTCTTGCTGCGCCATTTGCTCCTCATGCTCTGCCAGTACCTGACAGCTTCGTCTTTGCTGCAGTACGGCTGACAGTGCTGTGAGAGCAACAGCAACAACAACAACAACAACAACATGCATTCACAAATTCTTGCAATCCTGAATACATTCGCCTTGGCCCGGGGCCAAACCATTCTCCGGCTATCAAACGGATTCCCGAAATCTCTCTTCAAAATATGCCGCGGCCCTTTTCCTGTGGTAGGACTGGTGCAGATGTCTCCAGTCAGTGGAGGTTCTCTTCTCCCCTGTTTCTGCCACGCCGAGGCGAACGAAGTGCTTGCACAAAACACAATTTGCAATATGGAGCAGGTGTTGGAAGCCATGTGGGTGTGATGCCGAAGCACAAGTAATTTTTCATCCACTGCCCGGACACGGCCCGTTTGGACAGCGGTCTTCGTTGTTCGCGAAGAGACGGCATGAGGCAGGTTGCGACCGACACTCCAATGCAGTGCTGTTGCTTTGCTAGCGCTCTTCAAACTCAGGTCCATCCTGGGCCATTGGATTTGCAAGAGGGAATTTCAGGACGGATCAAGAAAAAGCTTGCATCATCCCGCTGCTATTGCCCCTAGTTTTCGACAGGGGTCCTCAGGACCACTACCCGGAAACACTTATTACTAATTACCCCTTCGGCATGGCTCTCCATAAAGGCAGACGTGGCAACAACTTCAGGATTCTTTGAGCAGGCCGAGCAGATCAGGTACAAGTGTGTGGTCGGCTGGTGACCCGGCGCGCACATAGGTTTTGCAAAGCTGCACAATGCATAACTTTTGCTGCTCAGCTTTGCGTCTCCTTATATAGGCGGTTCCAGCCTTTGTCTCGCACTTGTCACACGCCATCACGAATTGGTTTGACACCATCCATGCTCGCTTCCGTCATCTCATTCGGCAGTTCGCCGGGCGGCTCTGCTTGTCGTCTGTTGTCTTGCGGCTCGCCGTGTAGCCCTGCCGGTCTTCTTATGTCAAGTGGGTGTGGACACCATCCCACTTTGCTCGAGATCATCGATTTCCGATTTCCTCTTGCTTGCTTCGTGCCCGTTACAGTAGTTCTTACTCGGGGCTCACTGACCTCTGTGAAAGCAAAATCCCCCATCGGTCCGAGGGAAAGGCAAGTAGACATCTGTGCAGAAAGCAAGGAAGACGGAAACAGAGGTGCTTTTGACGAAGAGGCCTTGAGGCCAATCCCAAGAAAGCAAACCCCATCCTGAAGAAATGAGACTCAAAAGTTTCACCTCATGGACAGCAACACTGCGTGCATCATGACTCCTTCAAATCCAGCCCACGCTCCCACCTTCGATATCTTTACGGAGATGTTGAAGGGATACCTCATTCATTTGCATTGCAAGGGGTGTGGCCAGGCGGCCATGATCTGTCCAAGCTGCTTCTTGTACGACTTTGCTTGCTGGAAACAAGCTTGCCTTGGCGGCTCAGCAAAAGAGGAGCATCTGCCGAGTTATTTATGATCCGGCTACACTGTTTGATCCAAGATTCGCATCAACGTCCCTGCCCGTGAGTGCCAGGATACGACCGCACCAATACAGGCCGTGGGCTGAAAGATACCTTCGGCTTCAATCCTGTCTCTTCATGTCTACGTGTGTCCAAGAGTTTTCATCCGGATATATCTAGCGTTGTCGCATGCCGCACGGGCTGTGATGTATCATGGCTGGCGGAGCTTCCTACCACGAACACAGGCGGGAGGACGATGACTGTAGAGAGGAAAGTCCAAGACCCTCGGGATCGCTATTGACTTGTTTGTGGCAAGCGCTCGACCTTGTATTCCACTCATCTTTAAACTAGGCTCAGAGCAACGGCAAGAACTGGCCTCAATGGCCACACCGCATGCTGAGCCGCTCATGCCACACGAGAGCAGATGCAGTCACGTGCCACCTACCGAAACGAGCTGCTAGATAGAACCCAATCTTGCCAGGCAACGTCGCCCAACCAGGCAATCGAGGGCACAGCTGCGATAAGTCTGGAATGAAAACCATTGCCTTCAGACGCAAGCGACTTTCTCAATGGATAGTATGCATGACAAGGATGATGCGCCAACCAGGGGACAGCTTCGGCATCGCCAAGGTAGAAGCAAATAACCTGGATGGCCGTGGCAGAGCAAATTGGGCAGCATTGATCCAGCAGCATCAGCATGCATCATCCGACTCGGTCTGGCTAGCTCCAACCAAACGAAGTCCAGGCAGCAACTTGGATGGTAAGCGCACTGGCCATCTCCACGATGCAGCTGTCATTGTCGTTCTCGCCTGCTGCTGGCAGCTAAGGTGCGATTTCATGGACCCGACATCTCAACAAGAGGCGCACGTTCCGGCAGCCACTCGGCATCTTCATCAACCGGCTTGGTCGCCTTCCGCACCTGAGAGATCGGCTTGATGGCTTTCGGTCACGTGTTCTGCTGTCCAAGCACGGCAGAAAGCTTCCAATCATTGTAAAGAGCTCGTGGGGGTGAGACCCTGGCCGTAGCCCTACTCTTGTCCTGGCCCATTGGGGCTAAGTAGGTAACGAGCTCGGCTGCCGGCACTTTCTTTCAGGGCCAGCAGCATGTGGCCTGGAACCTACAGAATGCATCGCACGTCTGCGGCTGCGGCCAAGGCCCAGGCTGCTTGGAGAGGCGCGAGGCGCCTTCGGAAATTGGCGCAGGAAGTACATGACTTCAAAGGCCAGCAACCGCCTGGCACACTGCTGACGACACAAAACGCTTTAGGCCGCCATCGAATGAAGGGTATAGTCCGGCCGCAAAAAGGATGTGCTGTCAGGATGTTGACAGATTCTCGGAACAGCTGAAACATGCCGTTCAGGGCCCATCCTAACATGGCAGTGTGCGCTGCACTAAGTCAGATTTGACTGCTGCGATCCGCATCTGAGCGATGCTGCTTGACAACGCGGAGAAGGGAGGATCGACATCTGCTGAAACACGTTCCACTCATCCCCAACAGCACATGTGCTTGCAAGGTTCCGCCATTGTCTCCGTCGAAGGAAGATTTGTAGAATTCGTGCCTCGGAAGATACGGAGACGTAGGTGACAATCGGGCATATGCTCAAGGAATGGCACCTTTTTGCAGCTCGGGTCTAAGTGTTAGCCAACGGCACCTGAACACTAAATGTCGCATGAGCTCAAGACTGCTCATGGGCCTCGGGCTGGTAACCATGAAGAGCACAACTCCTTTAAGGAATCTGGGTCTGCACGTAGCTTGACGTTCTGCTTGGTGGAACTAGCACGAGAATGCGGTTTTCTATGGTCCCAAGAACCACCAGTTAACACCCGTCTGGCACCAGAACAGGGCCAGGGAAGCCAAGGTAAGAATGGACAGGGAGCCAAAAAGCTTTAATCTTCGCCGGTCGCAAGGCATTGAGGACCACCCTCAAACCCTCAAGAGGTCCTCGTGAGACGGCAGAATACTGGACATGAGAAGAAATGGAGTGACAGTGGCCACGTGCCGCAGTTGATGAGAAGAACTGCAAGTTCAGGCCCCCGAAAGCCAGACCTGAGCCTCAGAGACATCCAAGTTGAAGGGCGGCTGTGGATGGTGCCAGGGCCAGAGCCGAGAAATGCCAAAAACCCTTGTAGCGAGATGTAGCCGCTTAGCCGAAGCTGAGGATACCTTGAACACTAGAACCCCCGCTGC